CCATATCTGGATAATATGGTGGGTGGGAGAGAACTTCCCAACCCCAATTCCATAATCTTGCGTTGCGTCAAACGAGCCACATGTGGACGTGCATTGTCGTGGAGAAGAACACTTTTCCGATTGATCAGTGAAGGGCGTTTCTGATGAAGGGCTTGATTTAAACGTTCCAGTTTCTGACTATAGCTCTCTGCATTGACAGTTCACTGTGGATTGAGGAGATCGAAATGAATTACTCCTTTGATGTCCCACCAAATGCAAAACATCACTTTCGGCGGATGGAGTCCAGGTTTTTGGGTCGGAAGTGGTTTTTGTCTAGGACTGAGCCATTGTTTTTGGCGTTTAATATTCGCATAGAGAATCTATTTTTCATCATTGGTGAAAAGTCTGTCCAAAAATGGTTCACGCGAATTACGCGCCGGAAGAGACGAAGTAATGTTCACACGTTGGAAACGATGATCATTGGAGAATTCATGAGGCAACCAAACACCTTCTTTATGGAGTTTTCCCACATGCTTTAGATGTTCACGTATTGTTTCATGAGAGGCCCATTTCACGAGTGTGTTGTCTAGGGTTATACTCAACAGGCGTCTTCAGAGCATCAATATCAATTCCAACAGGTCGGCCCCTGCCATCACAGTTTTTAATGCTAAAGTCACGTGAACGAAATTGACACTTACGAATGTTCAAAACATTTCCATAAACTTCTTTGATACTATTTGTGGCTACAGAGGCGCTGTTTTCCCTCTTGTATTCAAACAGCATTACATGCCGAATGTGTGTCTCGTCGTGTGCCGTCACTACAAGGGATTACAGTATACTAAACTTTACATATCATATAGGCTATGCTAACGTGACGTTTAGGCGGTTCGTTTAACTATTACACAAGCAAATAGTCTCCTGCTATCCAATAAAAGGTTCTTTTATGAAAAAGATCTACATCGTCTTGAATTATTTAAAGATCTATACATCTTGAAAAAGGCAATTCATTTTGAGTCTACATTTTATTTTTCAGGGCCTGTTACGTCTGTAAACATGCTTTCTAAGCGCTTTTTATTGAACAGGGCTCACTTTCTACGATTTCCCTTTGCATAGACAAAAATAATTCAGTATTGATGTAAATGCAAGGAGTACATGTGTTTTGTGTGTTTTAAAAGGCTGAACCAGCTGATTATTCTATTTTTATGCATATGTTTTTATGACATCGTCGGTACGCAATTATTTTTTCGGTTTTATTTGTTTTTAAAATTTGATTCGTTATGAAATGACCCTGCATAGCTTTGATCTCTTGATAATGATGCCCATAGGATCTTAAATTCACAATTTTATTCATCGTTAGTTTCATATTGATATTTTAGACCAGGTTCATGAACTTCTATCTCTGAAAGTTTTTGCTTTCCCCAAAGTATAAGGAAGATTCAAAGTAAAAAAAATATTACGAACATATTTTTTCTACATGAACTTATTAAATCAACTTAGCCTACTAACTCATTTTTCTTGTGTATGGAAAAACACTTTTTGATATGATGTTCGGTCCCATTTTATACTTACTTCTCGTAGAAATAACTCTAGCCTTTTCGTTCAAAATATTCTGCAACTGTCATTTGTTAAGGTTCATTTTGTTCCTATACAAACTAGGAATTTGGTTTTGTTAATGGTAGTAAACTTTTTAGTACGATTTTTACTTTAGCCGATGATTATACAAATAATAAGTTCAAAGTAAATATTTTCTGAAGATTTAATGTTATTTTTCATAAAATTTAATAATAGTTTTCATAATTTAAACTACTTCTTTTTTATTGTTGTATCTAGTGTTCACGTTTTCTCACGGTATAAAGCCATACGTTTAGAAATTGCACAAAGAAATAATACTACTTTTTTAAGAAGTTCTCCTGAAGGCCTAATTCATACCTGGAAGGTAAGAGTATCAGGCTCACAAGTGGAGAATAGATTCAGCATCTCCTATTGAACAGAATTATATCGTCATATAAAATTGGTAGCCTTCCGTAATTTGGCATCTCCTATTGAACAGAATTATATCGTCATATAAAATTGGTAGCCTTCCGTAATTTGGCATCTCCTATTGAACAGAATTATATCGTCATATAAAATTGGTAGCCTTCCGTAATTTGGCAGTGAAAGACTAGAAGGAAGGCAGCTAGTCATCACCCACCGTTTAAATGCAAGAACAGGAATGTAAACAGATAGGTTTTGTTTGGGAGGACATAATACAAAAACTAATGTAATATGAATAATCAAACAATATTTCACAGATATATATATATATATAACACAAAATAT